AAAATTTTCAAAAAAAATATGTAGATTATATATATATATATATATATATACTAGCGGAACCGACAGACGTTGTCATGTACACATGTCTTAAATTTAGAAATTTTAGGAATGAGCTTGTATAGTTAAAAACATCATTAGTTAACAATATGCAATGGGCATTCTTCAATAATTAATATTTTCGTAAATATAAGCCCATTCTGATTTTATACTCATCAAGAGCTTTCATTTGAGTAGGTACCCACATGCATTTTTGATATATTTTATATATTTATATATTTCACAAATACCATATATATAAAATATATAAAAAATGTTATATGGGTACTCAAATGAAAGAACTCGATGAGTGTCACATCGGGATGAGCTTATATCTTTCAAAACTTCAATAATTAAGAAATGACATTGTATCCTGTCAACTAATGATATTTTTAAAGATATAAGCTCATCTCGATGTTACACTCATCAAGACCTTTCATTTGAGTACCCACATCAATTTTTCATATATTTTATGTATTCATATGTATTATATATATGTATGTATGAAAAATATATCAAAAATGCATGTGGGTACTCAAATGAAAACTCTTGATGAGTGTAACATCGGAATGAGCTTATATCGTTAAAAAAATCATTAGTTAACAAAATACATTATCATTCGTTAATTATTAACATCTTCATAAATATAAGTCCATTATGATTTTATACTCATCGAGACCTTTCATTTGAGTACCCACATGAATTTTTTCATATATCTTATATATATGATATTTATAAAATATATGAAAAGTGCATGTGGGTAGTCAAGGTCAACAATTTATAAATAAAAAATCTATTAAATAAACATTTTCTCGTGGACTGAATTGTGAATCTAAACCATTCTGGAATCCACCGGAAGACACACAAAACATTTCATTAAAATCGGTCTAGCCGTTTAGGAGGAGTTCAGTGACAAACACACGCACAGAAGAAATATATATATAAAGATTAATTTTGAGATTTTTTTTGTAGAACGAAAATTCATCCTTATTTTATTTATTTTAAAAACTCCGAACGTGGATGTTTTTCAGAGTGAAATTCGAAATCACTCCGAAATCACTCTAAAATCATTCCGCAAATAAAAACTCCGGATTCACTCCTTATACGCGGAGTATTTAATTACTTCACTCCGGAACTCCGAGTGATGGGAGTGAAATGGGAGTGAAATTCATTCCCGATTCACTCCGGATTTTTTACAGTGTAGGATCAGCTACAACTAAATCAAAATTTTTATTTTTACTATTTTTTTTGGGACTAAAAAACTGTGAAAAAGCCTCACTGTTATCCATCTATTATTAACTTCCCGCTAAGAAGATCGAAGATTTTCAAAAATCGGGAAGTTATTGGTTTTACCCCGTTTTTCGAAAATCGAGTTTTCATCAGATCTCGACGTTTTAAGGTCCTAGAAAGCTTCCCTGATTATTCCCGCCATGGTGTCTGTATGTCTGTATATATGACTGAACTTAGATTTTGAATACGATTTGGACCGATTCGGACCGGTAGATTTTAAGAAATCTAAAAAAAACTACGAAAAAAAATTTTTTCAAATGTGGTTTTTTTTAATAACTTTTAAACAGCTTGACCGGAGCTCGGAGAGCACAAAATTACACGAAAATTATATTACACAAAAACGTAATAAGTGCAATTTTGAGCGCTTAATTTTGAAAGTAATATTGTAATATTTTAATAGTAAACAAAAATGTTTATTTCTTCAAAAAAAAAAAAAAAAATCAATTACATCAAATAAAAGCAAAATCATATAAGTAATATTGTAGACTTTTAGAGAATCCTTGACTCCGAACTTGTTTTTAATCATCTAATCGATAAAGTGCTTATCACAAATTCTTTACAGCATTCAATGTCAAAGATTACGAAAAGTTGCAAGACTGAATATATTGTAATAGAAATCATGTTAATTTTATTTGCTAGTTGTTAATGTCTACTATTCGCAAAATATTCATTCAGTGTGTGACTTCAAAGCAATGACTTTGAATAAAATTACAATTGCTTCGTTGATGATAATACTTATTAACAATGCTAAATATTTGTATGTATACTTACCAAAAACAGACACTGATCACATTAAAGATCATAGATTGTATTTGACGCTATTGCTTAAAAATGGCAAAATCACAAGTTAATCACAAGGAAATGTTCTACGTTGAAAGTTACAGTGGATATCTAACTGTTGATGAGCAATACAACTCGAACCTCTTCTTCTGGTACTTTCCTTCAAAGGTAATTCAATTTATCAATTTCTTAACCTAAATAATTAGGTACTAAATTAACAACCCTAAATACTTATATTACAACTTTACTTAGATCCAAAAAACGATCCTGTGGTGCTGTGGCTTCAAGGCGGACCTGGTGCGACATCTCTTTGGGCGCTCGTCTACCAAAATGGGCCCTTCAAAATCCACAACAACAAAATTTTATCAATACGTCAGTACAGTTACAGCAGCAATCATAACCTGATTTACATCGACAGTCCAGTTGGTACTGGCTACAGTTTTACTGATAACAACCACGGCTATGCAAGAACTGAGTCAAAAGTCTACAAAGACCTATACTCTGGATTGCTGCAGTTCTACTAACTATTCCCGGAACTCCAAGGCAACCCTCTGTTCATCAGCGGTGAATGTTACGCTGGGAAATACATCCCTGCCTTTTCGTACCTGATCCACCAGAAGAACCCCACTGCTAAGATCAAAATCAACCTGAAAGGTCTTATCGTCGGCAACGGGTTCGTGGACCCCATCAGTCAAATGCACTTTGGGAACCACTTGCACGAAATCGGACTGCTGGACCTGAACGGCAAGGTTCGCTTTAACTTGTACGAAGAGAAAATACGGTCCTTGATTAAAAGCAATCAACTCACAACCGCTTTAGAGGTTCCCAATGAACTCCTCTTCAACTTCCCTTCTGTGCTTTCAATTCTAACAGGGTTCAAAAGCTACCTTTTCAATTATTTGGACAACCAAAATTCAGATGACTGGGATGCTTTGGTGGACTGGATTCAGCGTCCTGATGTTCGAGCTGCTATTCATGTTAGCTATGACACTCCTTTCAAGATAATTAACCCAATAATCCTGAAATACTTGCAGCATGAGTTTATGAAATCGGAGGCTGATAAGATAGCTGCGCTGCTTCCTGAATACAGGGTTATCTTTTATAATGGGCAACTGGATATGATTATTCCTTATTCTTCTATAGAGACTGCTTTGCTAAATTTACAGTGGGAAGGAGGTGATGAGTTCAAAAAAGCTTCTAGAAGTGTTTGGTGGAGTGGTGATGAGTTAGCGGGTTATGTTACGAAAGTGTGGAATCTAAATTTTGTATTAATTCGTAATGCTGGACATGCTTCTGGAGTTTATCAACCGAAGTGGGTTTTAGAAATGATCACTCAATTTACTCATAATTGAGTTTGTGTTAAGAATTTTATGGCTGAATGAAAAATTGTTACAAACGATGTCTTAAATAGCTTAACTAGAAGAGCCCTTAGTGCGCAACCAAAAGATCCGGGTTCGATTCCCGGTCCGGGCTGTCCGAATTATTTTTTCTGTTTTCTGAGTTAAAGTTAATTAAGATGACTATTAAGCCCATATTTAACGAAAAATAGTTTAAGTAACTATTTATCGTGGTTCAATATAATGAATAATTTTAATTAAATAGTGGTGATACTATTTAACTTAATTTTCTTAATTTAGAGAACGATATTTTTCTTTCAATTTGTATGTGTTTGTGTTAATAAAATCTCATAAAATTTTTCCTGAAAAATTTCGACAAAAACAATTATAATTACGTTTATTTGTTTGAAAGATATCACTGTCGGAAAATTTTTAATAAAGTTTTTTATTTAAATAAATTAAAAACTCAAATTCTTAATCCTCAAAAAAGAAGGTTCTGAATTTACAGCAGCTAATTCCTAATAGACATTCATAAATAAAAAATTTATTGAGCATTCTTAAATTTGCATGGATCGAATGAACTTATTATATATATTTCAATTTTTTTTAACTTTCCGCTAAGAAAATCAAAGATTTTCAAAAATCGGAAAGTTGTTGGTTTTATCAGGTTTTGCAAAAATCGAATTTTGACTAGATCTCGACGTTTCAAGGTCTCAGGAAGCTTCCCTTACTACCCCCGCGATAGTGTGTGTGTGTGTGTGTGTGTGAGTGTGTGTGTGTGTGTGTGTGTGTGTGTGTGTGTGTGTGTGTGTGTGTGTGTGTGGATGTGGATGTATGTAAACCTCTCATAACTTTTGAACGGATAGACCGATTTGATCGTGATTATCACCATTCGAAAAGGGCTTCACCAAACTTAAATTTTGAATACAATTTGGACCGATTCAGACCGGTAGATTTTAAGAAACTTTAAAAATAAATTTTTTTAAATGGAGTTTTTTTGGAATAGCTCTTAAACCACTTTACCGATCAATTTCAAAAACTAATCAGCTCTTGACATCAAAAAACCACCTCGATCGTTGCCAATCCGGACAAAATCGGTTGATTCGTTCGTGAATTATCGTTGACGAAAAAAAGTGTTTATTCCGAATTACACCGAAATTTTCGGTCTGACGAATTTGTATTTAAAAGTATATCATGGAATCAGAAAAACTGCGTCGAATGCTGTCAACTGCGTGAAAATCGGTCGATTGTTCGTGAGTTATCGTAGTCGAAAAAAAACCGAAAAAAGTGTTTTTTCGGAATTACTTCAAAATTCCTAGTTCGATCAATTCAAACTTAAGGATTCTTCATAAAATTTAAAAAACTGCGTCGAATGCCACCAATTGCGTGATAATCGGTTCATCCATTCAAAAGTCATTGCGGTTTGAAAATTCGAAAATAGTATTTTATTAAACTTCCATCAGACTTTTGAGCTCGGAGAGCTCAAAATAACACGAAAATTATATTTTTGAGCTCGAAGAACTCAAAAACTTACTAAGTGCAATTTTGAGCGCTTAAGTATGGAATTAGCGGGAAGTTGCATGGATGGCCTTTAGGGTCAACCGTTTTACTAATTTAAAAAGTAAAAAACGGAAAAATAGCCAAATTTTTACAATTTTGTTTGTTTTTTTGTGTTCACTCATTAACATTCTAAAAGAATATAAAATTATAAGGGTAGTTAAGTCTTAGTAAGATTCGAAAATGAATATATGAAAGTTTACACATGATTAAAATAGATGAGGATATGAAGTGATAGAGAGAAATAAAAGAAAAACATGAAGAGCGGGATGGGAAAACGAATCGGAGCATGTTGTCCCCGACACACTGCTATACAACATCGACGCCTATCAAAACTGTCAGGTTATTGTCTCGCGTTTTAATGGAACTTCAACTGTGTGGAATACGCTGAACATAATCAAATACGACGAACTATTGAGAATTGAGAGTCGAGAAGTGAAGCTGATGCAAACATATAATAGATATTTACGGAGGTAGGTTGGCACATCTTGGTCATTGTGTCGGTGTATTAGTGCAAAACGATCAAAAATTTGATGCTGAAAGGATCTAAAACCGTCTGTTAATAATAAACTTTTCTCAATTATTTTTCCTACGTTTAATCAATACTATTATGCTTTCAATCAACTGCCAAAAACAGAGATTTCACAGTTTCATGTTGTTTTCTTTTTTTTTTGAGAATAGTTTAATATTTTTATAGTATTACTTTGAAGCTCAAAAAACCTGACTACTTTTAGTTTTTCAAGTTTCCTTTGAAAATGAGTTAATAAACTATTTTACAGAGCCCTCAGCCCTCTTTATTCGAATCCGAATTTAAAGTCCGTTTGGCCCGGTCCTCCTCCAGTTTTGAGTAAAATCCAAAAAAAAAAACCCAAAAAATTGCGAAAAACTGTAGTCACAGCGATGAAAACATTTTTGTGCACCCGGATTAAGTATGATTTTTATTTATTTCAATTTATTGAATCTGAACCTTAATAAGCCGGTTGAACCGTCAAAATTAAAAAAAAATAGCGAAAAACCGAAAAAAAATTGCAATAAATCATGGAAAATCGAAATTATTGAGATGAAAAAATTTTTTGGATTCAGATTGAGTATGATCTCTATGTATTTTGTTTCACTGAATTGAATCTGAATTCTTGTCCCATTAACGTTTTAAAATTAGAAAATTAGGAAAACAGTTGACCTTGAAAGCCATCCCTTCAACTTCCCGCTATTTTCGTAATTAAGGACTCAAAATTGCACTTATTACGTTTTTGAGCTCTTCGAACTCAATAATATATTTTTCGTGTAGTTTTGAGCTCTCCGAGCTCAAAAGTCTGGTATAAGTTTAATAAAACATTATTTTTTAAATTTTCAAACCGCAATAACTTTTGAATGAATGAACCGATTTTCATGATATACTTTAGAACACAAATTAATCAGACTGGAAATTTCGGTGTAATTCGAAAAAAACACTTTTTTCGATTTTTTTCGTCAACGTTCTCACGAACGAATCAACCGATTTTGATCAACTTGGTGGCGATCGACGTGGTTTTTCGATGTTAAGAGCTGATTAGTTTTTGGAATTGATCGGTCAAGCCATTTGAAAGTTACTAAAAAAAAAACATTTGAAAAATTTTTTTTTCGCAGTTTTTTTAAGATTTCTCAAAATCTATCGGTCCGAATCGGTCAAACTTGTATTCAAAATCTAAGTTTAGTCGAACTCTTTCGAATGGCACCAACCGCGGTCAAGTCGGTCAAACTGTTCAAAAGTTATGAGAGGTTTACACACACACACACACACACACACACACACACACACACACACACACACACACCACGTCTAGATCTGAATATTATATTAAAACGTCTAGATCTGATGAAAACTCGATTTTTGAAAAGCGGGGTAGAACCAATAACTTCCCGATTTTTTAAAATTTTCAATTTTTTTTAGCGGGAAGTTAAAAATTAACTTGAATCAAGAGAAAAATTCTTGAATCAAGTAAAATTTACTTGAACGAAGAAAAATTTTTTAGTTAAAAAATTTTTCTACACAAATTAATATGATGTTCTTGAAAATTATTTTCTTGATCAAAAAATATTTCAAGTAAATAAAAAAAATTATAAATCATTATAAGATTATTAATAAACTTCCCGGGAAAAAATGATCAGACATGAACAGGCATGAGTCTTCAGGCCTGATCAGCCATGAAAAATGATCATACCTGATCAGGCATGAATTGACCTGATCAGACCTGATCAGACATGGTCAGGTTTGAAATACAATTGTTACTTTTAATTAATTATTTTGCTTAATTTTATGGATCAGTGCTTGATAGCATCACACGCAATTGTCTTTAATGAATTAAAATAAAATAAAAATGATTCCATATAATTGTACGACTGTAGCACCAACAGTCACCCATCCAACTACTAACCACGCTCAATTTTGTTTAACTTCGGTGATATCCGTGCGCCTTGAAGTTTCCGCCTGCTTTGCTGCTATCTTATGTGACAACAATTCTATGAAGTACATAACGTATCAAATAAGTTTATCATAAATATAATATAAAAATTGATTTTATAATATATTTTGATAGTCCTAATTTATTTATTTAACCGAATCTCATTATAACATCACATTTATTTAAATAATAAAATAAGTAATCATTTTAATATTAGGCAGGAGCAGAGCAGACTAAAACATCCCATAGGAAATGTAACAAATTTTTTATTTCAAAATTATTCAAACCTACACTGAAAAAAAAGTTTTCTACTCCGCACGATACGAGATCGCTACTGTCACGATCTACACTTTACTATCTAGAGGAGAGTGAGGTTAGGAAAACTGTATACTAACGGTAGCAATACGTTTCGTGAATGGCACCGAATCGATCGTGACGGTCACTATCCAGACTGCTACTCGTAGCCTCTACGGATCGTACCGGTGACGATTTACTCTTACTATACAGTAGATCGTACCGAGCAGAAAACTTACACTGAAAAAAAAGTTTTCTACTCCGCACGATACGAGATCGCTACTGTCACGATCTACACTTTACTATCTAGAGGAGAGTGAGGTTAGGAAAACTGTATACTAACGGTAGCAATACGTTTCGTGAATGGCACCGAATCGATCGTGACGGTCACTATCCAGACTGCTACTCGTAGCCTCTACGGATCGTACCGGTGACGATTTACTCTTACTATACAGTAGATCGTACCGAGCAGAAAACTTTTTTTTCAGTGTAATGATAAAAATAATTTTGCACATTTTGTGATGACCAAAAACATTTTTTTCGTCAAAGAAAAAATTTTTATTACATCTCTGACTATGCAAATCTGATCAGATCTATACCCGGAAAAAAATGATCAGACCTGACCATGCCACTGAAATCAAGAATGATATTAGTGATCAATTGAAACTGGTGGTCGATGTCGTTGAATCTCTCGCTGAAAAAGTTAACAGAAATAACGAGTTACTTAAGAATAGAATTGAAGCTGTTGAGGATGTCAATAAAGTCCTTGTAACAAATGTTGCGTCACTTGAAACGCAGGTTAAGAGTAATGCTGACACTATTGTAAAGATCAAGAACCAAATGGCAACGTCTGGTGGAGGAAATGATTCAGCGATCCTTGAGGAGGTTGAAGAAAGACTTATGAGGCGCAATAATGTAATATTGTTTGGTATACCTGAATCCGCCGACCCCAGTAAACAAGGCAGGGAAGACCATGACCTTGCACAAGTAACGAAAATATGCTCGGCCTTTGAGGTGGATACTACATCTACATCACAATTCAGAATTGGGAAATACGCACCTACTCTAGCTAAACCGAGACCAATTAAGCTTTCATTTGATAATGCTACACTCACTGAATTAATGATGCAGAGATTGGCCAAGCTGAAGAGGTCCAAACAGATTCCCTTAGAGCTGCTGAACGTAGCAATAGCCAAAGACAGGACCATAAGGCAGCGGAGGCAGCAGAAGGAGACCTGGACAGAGTTTCAACGTCGCAAACAGAACGGAGAACCGAATCTGAGGATAGTAACCAGGAATGGGTCGACTTCCATTCTCAGGATTCCAGCTCATCGCTCAGTTCCGGAGATAGAGATCGACAATCGATATTAAATACATAATATTTGCGGCATAGTATCTACTATCAAAATGTTCGAGGAATTAAATCCAAACTTAAACTGTATTGTATAACACAGCCATTAGCGATTTTGATGTATACGTATTAACTGAAACTTGGCTGCATGATAGTATGTACAACTCGGAATTATTTGATACTAATCTATTTTTTTTGTTAGATGTGACAGACGTGAAGCTTTCGGAAAATCAGGTATTGGGAAAATTTCAGACTTAAATTGAAGAAAAGTTCGAATCCCAATTAATTAGAGCAATATAACGGGTTTAAAAGTTCATTAAAACGAAGAACCAGGGAGGCGTTTAATAGCTACCAGAGGGAGTCAGAAAATAAATTAATAAAGGATCCTAAAAGTTTTTGGAATTTTATTAAAACCAGCAAGAAACAAAATCAGTACCCCACAAACTTTTATGCACAAAACAGTAATTGTTCTGACCCCCAGGTAGTTGTTAACTCGTTTGCTCAGTTCTTCAGTAATATGTATGCACCTATAGATAAGTTGTATGAATAGACTATGATTTGGTACTGTTAGAATAAGTTTTGGTATTATAATTAAAACTGTAATTTTAGCAAAATTTATATATGAATTGATTATAGTTGTCATCTTGTACTAAATATTGTAATTAGTGACCCTGTTAATGGCTGTAAGCTGTTGGGTCTAAATAAAGGAAATAAATAATAAAGGAAATAAATGCCTGTTCATGTATGAAGTGTTAAATACGCTCAGGCCTGATCATACCTGTCCATGCCTGTTTATGCCTGTCCATGTCTGTTCATCCCTGTTTATGTCTGAAGCGTTAAATACGCTCAGGCCTGATCATACCTGTCCATGCCTGTTCATGCCTGTCTATGTATGTTCACTTCTCAAGCGTTAAATACGCTCAGGCCCTGTACATCATACCTGTTCATGCTAAGGACCAAATATGCTAAGAAAAAATTTTTTTAACATACCTGGATCGAAAGTTCGTATTTCGATTCTATATTGAGCGAGGAAAGTGCTACATTGCCTCCCGACTAAATAAATATAGTATATTACATACCTAGGCCAGTAAAATAAGAAAAGTCTCAGATCACATGTAATTGTTGACCGAGGCGAAGCCGAGGTTGACAAACATGTGATCTGAGGCTTTACTTTTTACTGGCCAAGGTGTGTATACTATTTTTCTGCTCGACATAGCCGGAATGTGGCAACTTTGTTTAGCGCAGCGGCCAGAAAGTTGCCACTTTCCGGCCGGAAGGCAGAAAAATAAATTAGTGCGCATGCTTCAAATTTTCGGCAAATACCTAAATTCACGTTTCTTTTAAATGTCAAAATATACATTATAATGATTAACCTCAAAATGATTTATTTTGCAATAAAATTAATAGTGTAAAGGAGAATTTAATACATTAATTTTCAGCTTCTCGATTAATATGTATATATGAAAAATATATGAAAATGCATGTGGATACTTAAATGAAAGCTCTTGATGTAACATCGGGATGTAATTATATCTTGAAAAATGTCAATAGTTAAGAAAATACAATGCAGTTTAACAAAAGTCATTATTTAATAAAGCAAAACTTTATTTATTTATAGTTCATAAGTCACGACAGTCACATAGTGACTGCAAGGTTGCTAGTTTATATAGAATCAGTAATTTAATACAGTATTTTAATTAATTCAATTAATAGTGAACAATATTAATTATTAATTACTAATGATAAATAAATTTGAATAATTAAATAAATTAGAAACTGTATTAAGAATTTAAAAATATTTTTCGATTTGATTTCTCTTCTTGAATTAATTTTTGGAACTGTTTAATTGGTAAAAGTAAAATATTTTTTTGTGAAGATTGATTTTTTGTTGAACGTTGATTTTCTAATAATTTCCACCAGAATTTGGAATTATTGTGGCCGCTGATCGCCGAAAAGAATGACTACTGTAGGTTTTTGGAAGTTCTAGCTGCAAAAACTCAGCAACTATCTTCGGCACTCCAGCGATTTTTCTTTTTCCAATAACTTGGGACTTACATTGGCCCATATTATAAGTCACAAAAAAATGTTGGTCATCAAAGTCTTTTGACCGCAAAGAAATATACTTGTGAATGATACCGTAATATTCTTGATCGACAGTAAAATTACGGAGGAAACAATTTTTGCTGTCATTGATTGTGACTGTAAATTGTGCATCATCATCATTCAAATTTGTTTTTGGATTGTTTTGATTGGCAGTGGAGGTAGATGGAGCTTCGTTGGTGATAGTAGCAGATGGAACTTGACAATTGGAAGTAGAACGAGGTGAAATTTCTTGGTGAGAAGAAATTATTTGTTGGTAGATTTGTCGTCGGTTTGCTAAAGAATGTTCAATATAACCTTCTGCTGTGGTACTGGATCGCCATTCACCCAACTGTTTTACTGCTGTTAAATTTGCACCAGAATTTGCCAGTAACGTTGCCGCTGTACGCCGAAAACAATGACCGGTGTAGGCTTCCGGATGTTCTAGCTCCAAATACTCGGCAACTTTTCTCGGCACTTCGCTTATTTTATTTTTCCCGATAATTTGGCGCTTACCTTTTCCCGAAATGATAAGCAAAGAAAAAACGTCTACTATCAAAATCATTTGGCCGCAAAGAAATATATTTCTTTACATGACCGTAGTATTCTTTTCCAATAACAAAATTACGAGGGTAGCAATTTTTGTTGTCGTTAATTGTAACTATCATTTGACTTCCAGTGTCTTCAATATCCTGAATATTCAGATTACATATTTCACTGGTTCTGAGTGCGCCCAAGACTCTAAATGTCAAGATAACCTGTAAATAATAATTGTTAATATTAATTTAAAAAATTGCATGTATTTTATATATTATAGTTAATTGTACATATTTTAATTACTTTATTCGCTAGATTATTCAAATCATCAGAATCATTGAGAAATTTGTTTACTTGACTTAATGTCAGAACACGAGCCTTTTTAGAGTGGCACCCTTTGGCACAATTTTTAATAAAAACTTTTAAATTATGATAGTTATTGATATCAATCCCATTTCTTAGATTTATAGTAGTCCTCAGCATGGACCATCGGCTCCACATCGTTGGCGGCTTCAAAGTCTTCAATAGTTCGTGAAAATAAACTAACAACACATTTTCATTGAAAGAATCAGTTTTCTTTTTTCTTTGCCAAAATAAAAATTCTTGATAACACATGTTATACTGAACTTTTGATTTTTCGGGCAACAAATTATTGCTAATTTGTTTTGCCGCTTCATCCAAATTTTTTATTATTTCTTCTTCACTCAATTCAGCTCCCGATTCATCAGAACTCATTTTATTTAAATACTTTTTTAAGTTTCACAAATTTACACTCTGGTTTTAATTGCAAATGTAAGTTGATATTATCGCGATCGGCTAATATGTTTGCAAATTTTTATAAATAAAAAAATAAACAACTTAATGCCTAGTTACGTAGTCAAGAAAACTGAACATCAAATTTAAGAAATCGAAGCATGCGCACTAATGATAACTAACCTGATTCAATATCTAATTTTATTATTTAGATTTTAATCGAACTTTCGATCCCGGTCTAATAAAAAATCGTATACGCACCACGGGAGGATAGTAGGACATCTCAACCCACGCTTTTGTCACCCTCGCCTTCGGCTCGGGTGACAATATTGCGCGGGTTGAAATGTCCTCCTTTCCTCACTAGGTGTGTAATATACTATTGAATATGTTCAGTGTATGTACACTAATTTCGATTAATAAATTTGTAAATTATCAATAAACGGTATATATTATTATTCAATAAATAAAGGTATTTTGATTATCATTAAAAACCTGCCGTAGGGTAAATTTAATTAACTTTTCTAGGCATGGACAGGCATAAACAGGTCTGAGCATATTTAATTCTTCAAACATGAACAGGCATGAACAGGCCTGAGCGTATTTCCCGCTTCAGACATGAACAGGCATGATCAGGTCTAATTTCAGGCCTGATCATACATGAACAGGCATGGTCAGGTCTGATCATTTTTTCCTGGGTTAAAAATTTTTCTCAAGATCCGCATAAATTTCATACAAAGTTAGTACTCAATAGACTCTAGTGAGCGCATGAACGTCCTTAATATTTTGCTATTCATGTTCTTATTTCGTGAATATATAAAAGTCTTATGGCCCGTAATAATTTTCTAACCAAGTTGTTTTGTGTAAAAGGTTTTTAACTAAAAATATGATAAAATAACATATTTTTATAAGAGACATAAAAAGAGTTACTTTTTTGCGACACCCTATTATATTATTTTATAGAGACATACCGAGTAATATTATGGCTATCGCATCGTCAATATTCTTTAAATAGTTTATTTAAAAACTGAACAATTAACTATAAAAATAAAATATGACTATCAGATGCTTAAACAACCGAAAGTTCCATTAAAAGACACTTTTGAAATAGGCCGCAAGAGTTCAAGCGCATCAATTCTTATCAAAGGCTATCGGGCGACTTTGTATCCCCCATCACATGAGATTTTGCGTACATTAATAAATGCACATAAGTGGACAAACCCATACATACGTACATATACACATGCATATTATTGACAGCTTCAGGATGGGCTAGGTTTCAATCGTGTTGGTTGGTTAAGTTTATCCTACCGTAACACTATAAAAATAACAGCCGGTGGACGGTCTCTCCTTATCCCATTTTCTCGCTCTAGATTACTCAATATGTTCATCTTTCATCGCTACATTCTTTCTCTCTTCCACACTCGAAGAGTTACGCCATATATTTCCTCCTAGGTGGCGTCGTTGCCATCTTCTACTTCCCATTCAACAGCTTGTTTACTTACCTCTTACCTCTCTGCTGCTAGACGCGTGTAACTTGCTATATTTTGTACTCTCAGTCCATGCAATAACTATCTTTAGAATACAAGCACAAGGTTACGTTTTTAGTAGGTATTGATATATTTTAAAAACTTCACTTCTATAATTAAATCTATATTTATTGACAATATTTCCAATAATTAATATTTTCTAACCATGCTACAGCTTTTTCCGGGCGTCATTCAGGTTTAACCAGTCAAACTTTAGTTCTCATGAAAATCTAATATAGAGTTTGATCGTAAAAATACCGAGCTTCCCACCACACGCATCTACATTTACTTATATCTAAGGACATTCATGCGTGAGACTCGATAGTAATAGGTGAAATTATTATTCTTGAGTATTAACGAGTTCAATAATGCAGTTATGTTTCTCCCAAAATTTATAATCCTTCGTCGATTATTTTAGAAAGTTACTTATAATTTAAAATTGTATTTATAATTTAGGCTTAAGTTTCGATTTCTTTAAATACTTTTTAATCCTTTTGATTAATTTCTAATTAAACCACCGTTAGTTCTATTACACGGACTAATATAACCTGTCTACCAAAAACTGACAGAAATTGAAATTCTTAATCTTAATAAAATCATCAATCGGTAAATATTTCATAGATCAAATTAAAGACGCAATTTTATCCGCTCTAAGATAAATTTTCAAGAAATAAGCTATCTTGTTTCAATTCAATGTTCTTTAGAAGTAAAAAGACAGAAAATGTAATTTTCACTATCTTTAGAAAAATTCAAATGGCTATTTTATCTAAATTTATCGACCGATTTAGTTCATCTTTGAACTTATTTGAGGTAATCGTCCGAGAAATATGTGTACTAAATTTCATTATCCATTAATATATAATCATAATTGCGGCAATATTCCCTGGGCTGTCTCTTCATTTGTCAATTATCAAATTAGGATTAAAGACGCGATTTCAATACTCTAAATTGATTAATTTTCCGAAAATTTTTAGTTGAATAATAGTCGATTTTGTTGGCTTAATCTAATTTATATGCATATAATTATGGTGAAAGAAAATGTTCCCAAATTCAATAAACGATATAAATAAAGTCAAATAATTAATGTCTAATTAAGAGAGAAAGTGTTTGAGTTAAATAATCAATTTATGTCATTACAATATTGTTCATCTATCTCAGAGTTTCGAAGAAATTTTATGCAAAGTTAATCAATAAAATTGATCAATTAATCAATCCTCTTTTAAATACCCCATTAGTGTATATAAACGCAATAGATAAATATTGTAAATTTTCATACTTTTATTATTTATTGATAGTTTACTTACCATATTTAAATCTTATATATCTATATATTTTAAATTAAAAATTGAAAAATAAAACAACATGTCGTTATCGATATAATTAAGAGAATAAGGAAAATTTATATAATAAAATTAGATTTTTAAATTAATTTTAGTATCATTGAAAAGTTCTTCGAATTTCGCAATAAATGTCATTTGTTTATTTAGTTATTTTGTATTGTACATGTGAACGTGGTTTAAATATAAAAAATTAATTTATATAATCGAGAGAATAAGAAAAATTTTGTAACAGGTATATCTTTATCGTAAATTGGTTTTGATATTTGTTCAGCGATAGTCATTTATGATTTAAATACTTAATTAAGAGAGTAAGAAAAAGTTAAATTTGATATCATCAGAAAGGTCCTGGTAGGAATTTGTGCCTTTTTACGGTTTTACATATTTGTTAGTGATGGTCAATTTTTTATGTCAAATTTTTTGAAGTTTTCTTATTCATAAAACTAAGTCAATCTCGGCAGTCATATAGTGACTGCAGTTTGCTAGTAATAATTAATCAAGTTTCGATAATAATAAATTTGGGACTGAATAACACCATTCTAGTCTGTTTCATCTGCAATTATATCAAGTAGTATTCATGGAACCGTCTCGTTTTTAAATCCTAAATCATAATAATTCCTTTGATGTACAAGATAGTCATATGTTTTACTACAAAGACGTGTGTATTAATGTTGGATGTTGGTGTGTTCATTTTGCTTGCATTGAAACTTGAAGCTTCAATAGTACCTTTTTAGCCACTGGAAACGAGATAATTTCAGATCAATGCGCATGCTGGTGAGCAAAAACTGATTAGTTTTTCCAACAAGGCAGAAACTAACTGGTTTTTGTTCACTATATTCTATCTGTTTCTGCCTCCATTATAATCATGTCAGACTCGTATTTGCTTATTGTAGATCTCCAAATCATCAAATTGGTGATTGAACCGTAGCTGTCTGCTTCTAAATTATCTCGTTTTGACTAGACACAGACATTGAAACTTCAAGTTTTAATATGTGATAGGACAAGCGGTATGTTAAACTGAATAAAACACGATTTCAGATTACGACTGATGCCGGTCAATATTATAGCCCTTGGGTATAAAACAATATATATTATCATAATAACAATACTGATAGTTCATTAGTTTTACATCTCCATTGCGCATATCTTTTAAGAATTTTCGAATTTACAAAATGTAAACACTAATGTTAGAAATTCAATTAAAATTCTGGTATGAATTTAATTTTTAATTCGGTGTATATATCAATATTTTGACTACAACTAATTTTTTTGTAAACTTTTTTGTAAGCTGCACGGAAAAAAGAAAACTCGAAAAATTACAGTTTCAGATTGTAATTATTACAGATTTTATAAAAATTACATTGTAGAATGTAATATTTACATTGAACGCTCTGAATATTAAATTAAAAATTGAATTTAGAAAAATGTTATTTCAAACTGTAATTTTTCTAGTTTTGATTACGACGGGACTGATTTTACATTTTATACTGTAATTTTTCGAGTTTTCTTTTTTTTATGTATAAAAACTAAATTTTTTAGCGATACGCCGTATAACCAATTCATCTATATAGCGTTCCTTACTTTCTTAGCGGTAGATCGTCACAAATTCATTTATTTCTTTATTAATAAACTCAACAGCTCAATGGCCAATTACAAGGTTACAAAAATTAATTTAAGTATCATATGTTGCTAGCTATTATAATAACATTATATTTAAGAAAACATTAAACATCTTATTAAACAATATATTTATCAAAAAAATTAGCAGTATTATTTAGTTTTATTATGATAATTAGTATTATTTAATACAAATGACGATTTGATCATTGTATTAGGCGTTTAATTACTTGAATTGAGCTATACAGCTCATCATGGTAGCGAAACAATTGTCTGTTTCAACAAAACTATATATATGTTTACGAAAGCTAAAGTAGTTTCTCCGGGCTATATTGGGTAGTCAGAGCATTTCCTATTATCGGAAGGTTAATACTATTGTCAAATCGTCATTTACCATAGAAATACCTTATTAAAATGACCAAAAAAAATGTTTAAATGGGGGTGAAGCAGAGAAAGGTCAAAAAAGAATGCTTGAGGTTTGACCGTTTAGTAAGGGTATTGA